CAAAAATTCACCTAATGACATCATATCTGGAACTTTGACAGTGAAAAAGTTGATCAAGACGAGGTTTTTTACTATAAAGATATATTACATTTCTTCTCAGAATGACCCAAATATTACACATACCAAAAATTATATTTGGGGCTAGTTGCACTTTAAAATAACAGCCAACTCTCATGCACTCTATCTATTACTCTCATCCATTTATTTATCTCATCATACACTCTTCTATTACTCTCATCCTTGTGTGAGATCTCCCCATACCATTACCTCGACCACTGATGACATTAGCGTGTCTTACCTCGGGTGACATCCAATATGGCGTTCCAACTGATGAACGTTTTCTTGCTCCAGAGTTAGATAACAGCGCCGATACTCCTATAAATACACATAACATTCATAAACTAACTTTATTTATACTGGATTCTATCAGTTCTAGACTATTCAGTAGTCTCAACCGCAGAGATGAAAGACACCTCAGATACCAACATCCCACGAAGGAATGGCCAGAAACTCATTTTTATCATTTTTTCTTCAGCTTGACTCACCAAAGTCGACAAGTTTGACACCTGCGTTGCTCGTCAGGAGGATGTTTGCTCCTTTGATATCACGATGCATCACATTTTTCTCATGAAGGACTTCCAAACCCTGTTAAACACAAAGGTATGTTGCAGAATTACACTTCATCAGCAAATGTACGCTCATGATATGTTCATGCCCTTGTCCATCAAAAGAGAAAGATTTATTTGCTCCTAAGAGTGTCGACAGTGATAAAGTTGATTACAATCTCAAATCGGTTCCTAAAGAACGCTCAGTGAATCTCATCTGTTAAAGATGATTTTACAACAAAGGACACCTCTTTCTAAAATAAGACCAGTTTTATTCGGCTAGTCTAGTTTTAAAGCCCGTTTGCACTTGCAATTTTTGCTGAAAATTTGTAGTGCGATTTTCTACTTTTGATGGATGTGAACGAGTCGAAGACTTATGAATGCTCTGAGTATATGTACCCTCATCTGAACATTCATGACTCATCCACTCGTTCACATCCATCAGGAGAAGAAAATCGTAGCAAGGGTAAACCGGCCTTTGGGTACCTTCAATGTTTCGTGGATAATGAATGCGATCAGATCTTCGGACAAGCAAGAACCTGCGCGGATCAATCGTTTCACCAGCGCTGTGACGGATCCTCCGCGGCATAACTGGAATAAATAGAAGAAGCGGCTCAATTTCCACAGGCACACAGCAATTTAAATGTACCCTCAGATTTAAATACAGCAATTTCATATATTTTTATACCAGTCTATAGTTCCTGCCTTTCGCGATGCTAGGCGCGCTGGGAAGAGACGCGAAACGAAAAGGCCTAGCACAATTCGCAAATCTTCCCTTCTTGGTACAATTCTTGCCCTTCGAGTGGCCCTAGGTTCAACATATTTACATCGATATTTTTGTACAACTTTAGCCTTTGGGATGAACAATGAAGATATTTTGATATGGAAGAAAATACATGATGTGCTGGCAGTTCGGGTAAGGTTACTTTATGAATTTAGGACTAAGACCAAGTTACGAATTTTGCTATAGACCTTCTCTCAAAATCGATCCAGTCACGCAGGAAGGCTTGGGACTAGGCTAGGTTATCACGATGCGTAGGAGCAAGCTTTACCTCTAGCTCCTTAACTACCTGTAATCCTTGTTGAGCTGTTATGTAAGCACATCTCGTTTTCTGGTTACCATGGTCATGCAATCATGCATGGTTAATTTGTTGTGTAAAGTCTATCGAATATAACTGTTACGTTATACCTAAGGTTATCATATTGCTGCGTGGGAAGACCTATTATATGCAACTGCTTAAAAAATGCTCAACTAAATCCATAAACCGGCAAGTGGATCTTACTTAACAATGGTAGGATTGAATCTCATGCATGACGTTGTAACTGTGAGCTTTAAAAAGTCCAGTTAAAAACTAATAGCCGGTAACAAGTCTTATAGGTTTTCATTACAAGTAGTTCATTCCAAAGTCTTATGGATGCCAAACTTATAGGATTTCCATTAACTGAAAGACTTATAATCCTTCTGTCAGAACCAAACAGAATATATGCATGATTGTTTGATTTTAAAATTTAGTATTCGTTTATTTTATGTGATTTTTTCTCAATCGGCTTTCCTAGCCGCCACTTTTATGAAAAATGTCAACATTACTAATACGATTGTGTAGATAGTCTTTAATCAGCTAGCGAAAATTTGCAAATCAGAATATGCCTTTTCATTATATGTGTTAATATTTGCGTCACATATTCCGTTTTTTAACTAAATACTCCTAGCAACTGGGAACAACACCGAAAAATGTTTGGCAACTTTGCATTCTGTGACACGAAAACTTAATCTTTAAATCTTTTGAACCATTACAGTTTGGTTTCGAGCGATTGTTGCTTTTCTAGTTACAGTAAAAATGCTGTGGTTCGTGTTTTAAACTAACTACATTGAAATGAGATATCATTGCTTGAGTAGTTTAGTATTTTACTCTGTTAACACCAGAAGATTTTACTTGCATGTCAGTTGGGGGAACTCTCAAGTGCATGCAAAAGGGTTAAACATCCTCAACACAAATCTTTGAAGGGATGTTCCTAGTACTACTGTCTCTGACGAAAGATTTAACTATGTTCATGAACTGACCATTACGAATAATATACAATACAATGACATAGTCATATTTGCTCTATTTAAATCCCAGACTATTTTCCTGTCATTATATATCTCAAACGTCGTGCCAGTGTATAGGTAATATTCTACATGAAGCTGTCGTAGTTTGTGTCTGAACTAGTACCTGAAAGACATAGTATCTCAATCGTGGTGTCCAGTGGATGCATGGGTAGTAATGTACAATAAGCTGCCGTGGTTTGTGTCAGAACTACCCGAAAAAGATATCTCAATCGTGGTGGTCTAGTGTAGGTAGTATTCAACATTAAACTGTCGTGGTTTGTTTTTTGAACTACGTGAAAAAGAATAGAAACTCAACAGAGTCTCCCACGAAGCCCTTAATTCGTCAGAAACTCGTTAGCCTGGGTCTGTCAAGTGTTTAAAATCTTTTTCAGGTCGTATTAAAAACCACGGCAACGTGATTTAGTATATTTACTCTGTCTAACGCCAAACAATTTTACTTGTCAGTAGTCAAGACCTGGGCCGGGAAACAATTCAAAAATACATGAAATTATTTCCTAACTCTATAATGATACAGCCTTCAAATTTATTTATTTTGGTTGATGTTTAAACCAACTAACCTCCATCACCAGCCAGAGTTGATCGCCGTATGATTTGGACTTGAATTTAAACGCACCAATGAACTGTACGACATTAGGTTGATTTGACAGTTTCTTAAGGATATCCATTTCATGTAATACATCCTCGATGGTTCGCTCTTGGAAACCACCGATCACTTTTACTGCCGCCAAATGTCCTGACTTTACGTTTTTCAATTTGTATACGGCACCGAAACTGCCGTCCCCTACTTTTTCCAATAGTTGCCAATCCACTGGCGTTTTGAAATGTTTCAGTTTGTTGTGGTGGTGATGATGATGGTCTTTTCTTGTAGCCATATTTCCAAGGTTATCATAAGTTTGCCATCAAAAGTTCACTGATTTATATTCCAAAGTGATCTATGATTGTGGTAATTAAGAAGCTATGTTCGTTTAGCCACGTTAGCCGGCTTGGATTAGTTTGGATTCTGTTTTGTTTGCTTAAGCATATCATTACGTCGTCGTGTAGTTGTATCGAGCTTTATGAAATAGTTCATGCTTATCCCAACTCACTATATGAAACAGCAGGACGCTTTAGTTAGGCAAATTGAATGAATACGTAATTATACCACAACTCATCTTTAAAAATATGCACGAATATGATTTTCACATCTCTTTAGCTTCAACATTCATACACTTTGTGGAACTTAATAAACCATAAGATATATTACACCTTTCCAACAACAAAGAATGCAAATTAATCTAAGAATATTTGTGTTTTGAGCATTAGAGGATTTGTTTTTGAACAAGCAGGGATTTCGCTTCCCACAGCAGGTACCAATCTAGACACAGTGTCTAAGCGCTAGTTCACACGCTCCGAAAACAATTAAAGTTAAATATGGAAACAAGTTGGCGAACAACTATTATACATAGAGATACGTGGATAGCGGTTAGTTTTATAGCAGGAATGATGAATCATGAATAAGCTTTATTTATATAACCACGGTGACCTAATCTTTGATTACTCAGATGAGTGTATCTCAGATGTATTACTCAGATGTAGTAATCTTTGATTAATATGATGTTTGTGATGTTACTGTGAGTGTGCATCCACACCGGGCAAGCTGAAAAGTTTGCCTGACCACGATGGGAATCGAACCCGCGACCTTTGGGATACTAGTCCAATGCTCTACCAACTGAGCTACGAGGTCAAGTCGGTTCGAGTTGGTGACATTTCGGAACTGAGTCTAGTTCCTTCGATATTAACATCGTAGCTCAGTTGGTAGAGCATTGGACTAGTATCCCAAAGGTCGCGGGTTCGATTCCCACCATGGTCAGGCAAACTTTTCAGCTTGTCTGGTGTGGATGCACACTCAGAGTAACACCACAAACTTTCAATAATGACCAATAGACTTGTAAAATCGTCTGGCATTAGGCAGGCTAAGAGAACAAAGTAGGGTGCAGCATTAAGGTTCCTCAATGAATAAATTTTAGGAAACTGTACTTTGTGCACTTTATATTAGAGATCAAGAACAACTCGAGTACACAGCAATAATCAATGGAGTGCCAGTGAGATAGAACTATAAAAAATCTGGAATTATCGCATCCTGGAAGATTTTATCCAGTTGCTCTGGTGCTTCTTCCACAGAGAAACTTGGCATGGTTGATTACAGTATATAGGATGGATTCAACATTGTGATGTTTGTTCTCTGGTGGTAGTCTTGTTTCAAGACAAGCCAGCCCCATATAGAATGTACAATTTATCTGTGTCAGAATTAGCAATTGTGTGCCATTTCATGTGACAAAAAGATTTGGTTATAAACAACAACATGAGCTTTTCTACATGGACATATCTGGCACACAGCCAGGCAGAGACTTTGAGCAACAAATTTAATCAAGCTGTGTATTTTGAAACTTGGTTATACAAACTAGACCTTGGGCATTCTTGCTTTAACATATATATTTGAACTCAATTTTAAATACATAACGCAATGTTTTTGTGCAATTATTTATGTGCATAATAGCGTCCTTTCCAATTGAATGTTTATATTTGAATTTAATTCACTGTTTTCTTGGCTGCTGTATTTTATGTTGATGTCCATGTTGCTTAACAGGTTTCTCAACAGTCGGCTGTGGCTTGTCATGGAAGTGTTTTACAGAGTCTGGCTTAGACACCTCATTAACATTCACTTCCGCTCCCGACACTAACATTTTGTTTGGTTGCCTGAAAAATAAAAATATGCAAAGATGATTATTGGTCAGTTTAAGACTGGATATGAGACACCATTAGTGAGGTGATCAGGTCAGATATTTTAACAGAAAAAGCAACCAAGGGATCCCACAGTCAGAAAGTGTTTTCGGCAAATAGGAAGATCAGAAATCCGCTTGGTTCTTGGTTCACAAAGGCATTTTGTGCAAGTTCTTCAGGAAATATTTGCAGTTTACAGCAATTTGCGTCCAAGCACAAACCGCAAACATTTTCGCGCGTTTGTTTACGTTTGAAACGGGGTGTTTACCGTTGGAAACGGAAATGTTTCACTGCTCATGCGACGTGTTACAGTTCAAAGCCTAATTCAGTTATTTTTCATGTTTTGATGTGCTTTTGCGTACGTTTCAGTATTTCCAAGCTCACGATATTGCAAGAGCGACCAAACTTGTTTATATTCATACTTTTTGTGACTAGAACGTATTATCGTGGGCTTGGAAATATTGAAACGTGCACGGAAGCACATCAAAACATGACAGTTGCGCCAAAAATAGCTTAAAGCTTTTCACTGACACGTCACATGAGCGGTGAATACATTCCAGTTTCCAACGGTAAACACCCCGTTTCAAACGTAAAAAAACGCGCGAAAATGTTTGCGGTTTGTGCTTGGACGCAAATTGCTGTATTACAATTTGAAAAAAAATTGTGCAGATTTCCATAATACACCCTTTCAACAATTACATCACAACTAGACTGTTTTCAACTTAGGACCACCTTAAATGGAAATGATTTCAAGTTTTTTTCTCATGGGCTATGCCTTCTTCAACACATGCATGAAAAAGAATTCTTTATTTTGACCAATAAATGTGGCATGACCAGGAGCCTCATTTTTGTGTTAATGCTTATTTCCATATTTATGATCAAAATCCAAATTTTTTTCCCGCATGTGTTGAAGGATGTTCTGCTTCTCTGTGCATAGCCCATGAGAAAAAAACTTGAAATCCTTTCCATTTAAGATGGTCCTATGTTGAAAACAGTAATTATCGAAAGGGTGTATATATTTGGAAGAATTTTTGCACAGGATAAATTTTTCACCAAAACTTTACAGTCTGGACAATTTTTTCAGGTGACGACATTACTTGTTTTGAAAATCAGATGAGCGACATAGATACCCTAATGGGGCCTCAGCTTTATAGATTAACAAGAGTTAACAGCTTTATAGATTAACAAGATTTACTATTCCAGGTTGTGCTTGGTACCCCCCTTGAGTGCGAACCACAACCTTTGACAGGCATGTCCCCATCCAACACCACCGGCGGCATGAATTGTTATTATAAAAGTATAACAATAATGTCATACTTAATATGTTTACAAGTTTACATTTCCAAATAAACAATCTTACTTTTCTTCTACATTTTCTGCTATTTGCTCTTCTTCCATAAATTTCTTATCTTCGGCCTTTTGCTCGGGAGTTTGCTGGTGTGGTGGATGCGCTTTCGACGTAATTCTCATCCCACCTGCCTTTACTGAAAATAAAAACAATTGGTTTAGAAAAACAATGAGGGACTATTCTTAAAACACATGCGTGCAGATTATCACACTTTTGAACGTAAATTTAAACACGAGAAAGGCGCTAAATTTGCTTCAAATTTGACCTACCAGCTGGCGGATGACCGCCCTTTAATTCCCTAGCTTCGCTAGACATATTTCTTTCGGAAATTAAAGAAAAAATGAGCCCAAAATATTTCAATATTTCTGATTTCAAGTATGGTGTACGTATAGAAAATTCAATTTCTCGAAGCAGTTGTGCAAACACGATACACGCGTGGGTGTCACGCGGGTGTCGCGCGTTTTGTGCTAGTACTCGGGTTTCTAGAGAAACGTCGCGCGTATGAAGCTCTGGTGACACTGGTTTATTGACGCATTATATTATAAGCCGATTGAAATTTTAAACTTTTGACTCATATAGGCTTGTTGGAGAATACTACCCAAACCGGACCCCACATTTGAGAAGTTGTTAATGTTATATTATTTTTACTATAGGTTGTTAAATTGTATATAGATTGGCCTCACGCTACAGTAACCCCACCAAAATGCAACTGGTATCACGGTCGGAGTAAAAAGAAATTTTTTTGAAACTCAGTAAGTAAAGGTGAGACAATATAAATGAATTTCATTGAGTAATGGCGTGCAGATAATAAAGCAGACAGCAAAATACTGAACAACGGTATGACTCCAAAAATGAACGTTTTTAATATTCTTCTATATTAAAATTTAGTCCAAAATATAGTCGAAAGCTAGAATATTATAATTTCGTACCGAGTTACGTACCGTTGTTTTAAATAATATTAATTCTTTTCATTACAACAATTTATTTTTGCATATTTGTTATCTACACGGACAGAAATTCAGTTATTCTGAAATTCCAATTTTTCACAAAACAGTTCCAGAAATTCCAATTTTTCTGCCCAGAAGTAACCCAAAGCTAATTATTTACGCTACAAAAATAGGAGAGGTTAAATTTGATTTTCAAGTGCGAATGATATGCCCGCCTATCTCGACATTAATTCAATTAATGGTATCAGATGGTCGTTTTGAAATCATTTATCATTTTAAACTTGAAATGTAGGCGGGGATCGTCTGCGCATGCTACGTCGGAAGTTTGCATAATTTGCGCTTCGAAATTGCGCTTTGCCTTCGAGAGTTGAGAAACATTGTCACTTTGCGCTACTGAATAAATTTGTTTAATTTCAACGGTAAAGTGGGCACAAATTTAGTTGTTTATTGTTGTTTTTATTCCCGTGGCTTTTAAACGCGCCGTGATGGTCAGAATTTCGGCTACTCGTGAAATCTGAGATGCGTTAACCTGTCTTCTAAAAGCGTGGAAAATGATTTATGACTTCCATCGTGCACCGGCCATGTTTTGTATTTATACTGATTCTTTCTTTGTCTATCGTTGCACTCGAGTAGTCACGTATTGTATGCGAGTCGCGTGGTTTATTGATATTGCTATTGTACTTTACATAACAGGCAGACTTGTACAAATATATAATCCGCCGTAATATGTTTATCTAGCCACTTGACACTTGCCTGGGCTATTCCGTAATTCCACTTCTATCGATAACAAAATAGCGGGATCCGTCGTTTTAAACAAATGCTTTGTGTCCGAACGGTTCTGGCTTTCTTAACTTTACAAAGTTTTTGTATTCGTTCGGTGTTCGCCGTGAACAAGAAAATATACAAGACTATTGAAGACGACGTCAAGAAGCTCAAAGCGAACAAAGTGAAATGCTCCAAAGCTGATTTTAGAAACATTCAGCGATTAAAATGTGATGAGAAATTTGACAAAGCAACGCTGTGTATTGGGGAGAAACTATTGACAAATGATAAAGACCATGATCACTTGTGGACGCTTTTGGGAGAGATATATCACAGGCAAGGGAAAAGCAGTAAAGGCAACAAGTGCTTCAAAGAAGCTGCTAAATTAAATGGAAAGTTAGTCACCCATGCAGATAAAATAGGTCTATGGCATTTTATAGGACCATTTCAAATGGGGAAGACTGAAATTGATGGCGATCCTTTAGAAGCTTTTGGTGGAATTGATAAATTATTATGTCAAAGATATAATAAAGATTTTCAGGTTTATTCTGAACTGGTTCCTGGGGGGGAGGTTAAATGGGCTACTGTAATACCAAATCAACATGGTGTTGTCACTGTGGTGAACCGACATGCAGTTGTGCTCGATTACAAGGCAGTTCACCACGAATGGCAAGGCTGGCTTGTTGGTGATTTTTCACTAAATAGTGAGATGACGGTGTTAATACAGTGTAGTCGTGTTAGTACCATCTATATTAATGGGAGTATTCTGGCTGGGGATCATTATGCTAGAAGCAATTATTGGTGAGTTTTAAAGTTAAAGAATTTATACAGAGTACTAACAGTAATTTATACTTAATCCTAATTCAAGTCCAACAAATTCTTACATAGATAGATGTGCATTCAATCAATTAATCAGTTGGTCAGTCAGTTAGGCAGACCAGCAGTCTGTCAGTCAGTCAGTTAGACAGACTATTGGTCAGTTGGTTAGACAGACCATCAGTCAGTCAGTTAGGCAGACCATTAGTCTGTCGGTCAGTTGGTTAGGCAGACAATCAGTCTGTCAGTTAGACAGACCATCAGTCAGTCAGTTAGGCAGACCATTAGTCTGTCGGTCAGTTGGTTAGGCAGACCATCAGTCACTCTTTCAACCAGTCCATCACTCTGTCATTCAGTCAGTTCGGCAAACCATCAGGCAGTCATTTAGCCAGTCCATCAGTTTGTCAGTCAGTTGGTTAGGCAGACCATCAGTTTGTCATTCAGTCGGTTAGGCAGACCATCAGTTTGTCAGTCAGCCGGTTAGACAGACCATCAGTCTGTCATTCATTCGGTTCGGCAAACCATCAGACAGTCATTTAGCCAGTCCATCAGTTTGTCAGTCAGTTGGTTAGGCAGACCATCAGTTTGTTGTTCTGTCGGTTAGGCAGACCATCAGACATTTGTTCAGCCAGTCCATTAGTCAGTCAGTTGGTTGGGTGACTAGTTAGTCAATCCCCAACAATAGGTTTGTAGTAATACAGTAGGTATCAGGTATTTGAGTTGAATACATACAGTGGTCATAAAACTAGAGACAAAACATATTTTGTAGATTATAAAAATCTCTTCTGTATTACAGGCATCCTATTCACTTAAAAGCTGGTATCCACTCAGTACTATTGAGAGCCAGAGCAGTGGAGAATATGAACTTCGCTTGTCGCTTAATCCATGCCGATGAAAAACCTTTGTTTGAAATTCATCCACCAGTCATCCCAGATCTGGTCGATGGGCACATTTTTAGCCATCTTTTGTCCATCCCAATTACTAACCATAACCCTACCAAATGGCTAACAATCACCAAATTAACGCTAGTCTCACAGACGCAGGGCCCAGACATTAGCTTGCATCTTGAGAAACAGCAGAGATTAAACATTGCACCTGGTCAGATTCATTCTGTGATTGCAGCATTTAAGTTTCATGACAACCAGAAGCCAGATTCATGTCCTTCAAAAGAAATACAAGGAATATTGCAGCTGAAATCCAGGGAGGGTTTGAAAGGTGTAATATATTTTACAATAAGATGTCGTTCAAGGAGTGAGTCGTTTTTGTTCACTTTTGTCGATCATGATGGATCCCTACAGAATGCTGCAGCTATCTTTCCCATTGTCAAACAGAAAACAGATTCATTACAGACATATCCAGTGTTGTTGACACTTCGTGGCTCAGGTATATGATATTAGAGAGTTTGAGCAAGACAACGAAGTCGGACGACAACGACGTGGTTGACAATTTTCGCCTGTCTTGAACATTACCTTGCGCATTCTGAGTTTAGGGTCAGGAGTGAAGACAGATTAGAGATTCACGTCTAGCTGTTTGTGAATGCTGACCCAAATCGTTACCCTGATCAGGATAAAACAGCGAGACATGAATCCATATCCGCTTCCTCGTTCTTCTGCCTTCGTTCACAACGAATATTTTGGCAAAATTCGTTGCCAACTTCGTTCTGCACGAAGGCACAAGAACAAAGACGGGATAAAGTTTCATGTCTCGTTTTTTTCTGGATCAGGGCAGGAATTATGGCCAGTATTCATAAACAGCGACACTTGGGAGGACACGTTGAGCAACCACCAGTGACGTCCAACACAGTATCCACAAGATAATGTGCAGACGGCAAAAATTGTCAAGTATGGCCTCGTCTTCGTACTTCGTTGTCTTGCTCAAACTCTCTATTCTTATTTTACTGTCACCTTGGTCATACTGAATAATCTTTCCTATTGTTTATTGTTTATTATTTATTGAGTTCTCACTCGTTGATAAGCGGATTTGAAGGGATCTCCCGACAGGCTATTGCCTAATTGATTGGGGATCCGAGGTACCTCGGATTTTAGTAGAGAGTTTAAAGTGCCTGTATCAGGATTTTGGATTTTGCATATCTCGAAAGTTTAGGGTATTTTAAGACACTTTGCAATATATTTTGTTATTGAAAAATTTCATCTTGATGGATTTATTAGCTTTTAAAGTTACCGGACATGACGTCAAAAGAAGAATTTTGTTGCAATGATACAAGGGAAAACTGATTTGCAATTCTCCTTTCGACGTAATGTCCGGTAACTTTAAGAGCTAATAAATCCATCAAGATGAAATTTTTTAATAACAAAATATATTGCAAAGTGTCTTAAAATACCCTAAACGTTCGAGATATGCAAACTCCAAAGCCCTGATATAGGCACTTTAAGCTTCCTGTTATATGGCAAACGCCAGACAAAGAAAAATTTTACGATATCAGGCAATAAAGAATAAATGAACTTGCTGTTTTAAAACTGCAATGCATGACTGTCCATATTTCGTGGTCTAAGTTCTGTGTTGTTGTTCCTTTTCCAGATTAACGAGTTTTTTCTTTGCTTAGTTTCGTCCAAACGAATCACCCGTCTTTTGTACAAGAATGGTAATTTCTAATCTTTTTTTATAATTCCGTAAGGTGTCCAAGCTCAGGACCAAGCAGATGCCTACAAGAGAATGGAAAATAAGAAGTGGTTGTTCGGAGTTGAAGGAATGTGGACCCTCGCACCAACCCGACATGGTGCTCACAACTGGGAGGGACCAGGAGAGCTTACAGCTATGACGTCATTACAAAAATTGGCCGAGTTCACGCGCGAACATGATTGGATAGACGCAAAGGCCAATAGCAAGGCAGTCGTGTTTGCTGGACATTCCATGGGTGGCCATGGCGCTTGGTAAGTTCCCCATGTTTTTTTTTCAACATTTTTTCCCAATTATGGTAAACTATGGGTAAACCATGCAAATGTTTTCACTTTCTAGGCAATTATCCACACATCATCCAGACATCGCCTTGGCCGTGGTTTCAATCGCAGGTTGGATCAATAAAGAGAATTATGGAGAATCAAATCTTTTTTTCAAATATGATATAAGTCTCGGTCACACAGATGCCAGTGTCAAACATGTGATGGAGTCTTGTATCGCTGAAAATGATGCAGAGAAACATGTGTCTAATTTAAAGGTAAACTATTCTTCCTTTAATGATATATGCACCATACGCATCATTTATACTATGTTCAGTGGACATACAGGATAGCTCCACCAATTCTAAAGTGTTCTCTCCAGAGTTCTAACAATTGCCATTCTTGTTGATGTAGTGTCAACTGCTTAATGATTTAGTTTGGTTACGATTATAATGCTATCTTTTTTAAACCTAGGGTATACCAGTAATGATTCGAATAGGAGAAAGCGACATGACAGTGTCGCCGTATTTTTCAAAAAGAATGTATCGCGTCCTGAAAGAGCAAGGCAATGACGTCACGTACACTGAACTGGCGGGCAAGGCTCACTGGTGGTGGGACACGTACACCACAAATGATGGAGGAGTTGTAAATGACCGTGATATAAGAAAATTTCTTCTAAAACACTCCAAGTTTGCTATTGAACGACCCTCTAGTCCAGGTTGGATATGTTTATTTCTTTTATATGTAACTTCGAAGTTTATTGAGAGCCTCAATAAGTATTACGGTATACTTAACCACTGTTATAAGGTTCAAAGGTTTTAAGTCCCGGTCAAGCCAGGATGAGAGTTCATGAGAGTTGCAACCACCCCTCTCGTCTGAGCACCAATTCTAATCGACTTTCATAGTTTCATGCACTTTTATCAACATTAATCTGTTTCAAATTTTAATGATAGTTGATAAGAGGTTCTGATGTACGTGCTAATATCCAGGCAGTTAACAATTCTCATCAACGCTCATACAAATCTTGTTCTCGTTTGTCCGAGGATACCCTGGATCAGGGAGTTTCCTGTTTCGCTGAAGCTGTAGCTTGCACTCAGGCGGTGCTGGACACCAGAAAACCTCCGAACCCAGGGTAGTCCGAGGTATGAGAGCTGAGAAAACCCTCACGCAAATTCACCGGGGCTTCAGTGCATGTAGTTTAATGTTTCTCATTTAATTGAACTAACTGGATTGAGTTGTTGAGAATGTTTTAAGTGCGAATTCTGACTGTCATGTTTCTTTTTTTTCTAGCATGTTTGAAAAGTGAAGATAAAACATTGTGCGAAGAGGAAAGTACTTCGAAATACTCTTCAGTCAAAGTTCCAAACCGTAATCTCGCTGGTTCAGGAGAGTTTCTTCTTACAGTTTATAACCCTGCTAGTTCTCATGGTAAGGAACTCGCTGGTATTAAGCTTAACTTTAGTCATACTGGATATCTTTTGCAGTTCGTTCTTAAAACTAACTTTTTTAATACTGGATAGCTTTATCAGTTTTGCCTATACTGGTTCTTCCAAGGGGTCCAGTAAAGATCGTCCCTTAATGACGGAAAGAAGAAGAAAACCAGATTATTTGAAGAAAACCTGGTAAAGGTCGAACTGAAAGCATTCTCGCATATGTCTGAGGCGAAATTATAATCAGACATCGCATGAATCGAACCGCTGTCACAGAGATAAAAGAGACATGCTTGCACTAACCCTTACTAACTTCTATAATTCTCATATTTCAGGTGTTCGGGGAGTTAAAGTAATACAACAAGCTACGCCGTTTCGAAAAACTACTGTTCGCATGAAATTCTCCGAGTCCAACGTTACCATAGTTACGTCAAACGTGATTAGGTTAAGATTGACCGAGCCTGCAATCTCTCCAGTCCTCTGGACAGAAAGACGAGTCATTGTCGATGGTGTTGAAATTCCACTGGATAAAAACAACGGTATGTTTAATTTTCTCAGGTAGTAGAAAATATTATTAATAAGTTAAAGCCCTTTTGCGTGATATGCGTTGGAAGAATAACTATACAGTAGGTTTCATATGTATTGAGAACAATTTCATACATGTTTGGTTTAGAAAATATGTTCGACCTTTGCAAAGAAGGGGCCAAGAATTGGAAGTTATGTGAAGATGTTGGTGCTAATTTCGAGTCTGTAACACAACGTGGACCTCTCAATCTTGGTCCAGCAAGACGCATTGCTGAACGTCCACTGCTTATCGTTGTTGGTAGGTTTGAACTAAAACGGTGAAGGCCCTAATATTTTCATGAGAAAAGTCAGCCCTCTTAATAGGATGGCTCGTTTCCGCAGACAGCAATAAACTGCTTTCATTCCGCCTCATCTCTCACAGAGTCCAAATCCTATTTTGCTAAATCTGATTGGTTTAAACTGTGGTTTGTATTTTCAGGCACGTCCAGCCAAACTGAAACTTCTCAAGCATTGCTTCAAATGGCTGTCTATATCGCAAACGCATTTTACTTAACATCGGATTCCATCGTTCCCGTGATACGAGGCAAGGATGCAGTTGATGCGAACATCCGTGACTATAATTTGATTATTGTCGGAGAAATTTCATTCACTGCTTCGTACCTTGAAAAAGTTCCACTTAACTTTGGAGAGGATCAGTCTATTAGTTTAGGTAAGGTTGATTTGTTAAAAGTACAAACTTGATATTCAACACATTGTTTCGTGCTAGGAATAAGCGATGACTCTTACTGGACCTCTAGGGAGAATAGTTTAGAACTGATAGAGCTATCCAGTATAAATAAAGTTAGGTTAGTTTAGGTTTCCTCCTATAGTAACACTGGATCAATGAGAGATGATCCATACTGGACCTCTAGGGAGGACAGTTTAGAACTAATATAGCTATCCAGTATAAATAAAGTTAGTTTAGGTTTCCTCCTGTAGCAACACCCATCACGAATAGATTGATTTTACTGGACATCTCTAAGAGATTGATCTTACTGGTACAGAATATCCTGTGACTGATAGAGCTATACAGTATAAAGAAAGTTAGTTTAGGTTTCCTCCTGTAGCAACACCCATCACGAATAGATTGATTTTACTGGACATCTCTAAGAGATTGATCTTACTGGTACAGAATATCCTGTGACTGATAGAGCTATACAGTATAAAGAAAGTTAGTTTAGGTTTCCTCCTGTAGCAACACCCATCACGAATAGATTGATTTTACTGGACATCTCTAAGAGATTGATCTTACTGGTACAGAATATCCTGTGACTGATAGAGCTATACAGTATAAAGAAAGTTAGTTTAGGTTTCCTCCTGTAGCAACACCCATCACGAATAGATTGATTTTACTGGACATCTCTAAGAGATTGATCTTACTGGTACAGAATATCCTGTGACTGATAGAGCTATACAGTATAAAGAAAGTTAGTTTAGGTTTCCTCCTGTAGCAACACCCATCACGAATAGATTGATTTTACTGGACATCTCTAAGAGATTGATCTTACTGGTACAGAATATCCTGTGACTGATAGAGCTATACAGTATAAAGAAAGTTAGTTTAGGTTTCCTCCTGTAGCAACACCCATCACGAATAGATTGATTTTACTGGACATCTCTAAGAGATTGATCTTACTGGTACAGAATATCCTGTGACTGATAGAGCTATACAGTATAAAGAAAGTTAGTTTAGGTTTCCTCCTGTAGCAACACCCATCACGAATAGATTGATCTTACTGGACATTTCTAAGAGATTGATCTTACTGGTTATGGAATATCCTGTGACTGATAGAGCTATCCAGTATAAAGAAAGTTAGCTTAGTTTGAAATATGATGTTTTCTTTTCAGGTAATTGTGTATTTCAATCACCAAATATGGGTGTGCTCTCGCTAGTCCCTCACTCTGGATCACGGCTAGCCTTGGTTATTACAGGTACATCATTATCCTCCATACGTGACGTCATAAATTTAGCCACGCCCACTATCCCACCCATGGCCAGATCACCTTTTTCCAACCTTGTGCCTGATTACGTCATAACTGGGCCCGACTTTAGGGCGCAAGGTCCGGGTGGCTACCTATGTGCGGGTTTTTGGGGAAACCGCTGGGAATACCGAGGCGATATTTCGTCTTGCGCCTGCTGAAAGATTGCAGACCTACTGATCCTGAAGAGCCAACTGGATTGGCTATAATTTTCGTCTCCACTGAAAAATCAAGTCTTGTTTTAAAATCAGTATGTGGACTAGAAAATGTTAATAGAAATGGAATAATAAAAATCTTTAAACAACAATTTAGGAACGAAGTTGACTTTTTAGGAATATTTATTAGGTGACTATTTTAACAATATTAAATACCCTTTAACAATAGATTTGTACAGTAATAAATACTATTAGAATATATATTATTTTAAAATACTATTATATTAGTGCGTGCATTGCAAGTACAGAATTTCGATAAACAGTTTACAAGTGCTAAGACCCATTCGTAACAAAATCCAGTTACATATTTGTGAAAAATACGTGCTATAACAACTTATGATACTTTTTGTGCTTGTATAACAAGAATAAATTAACTTAAAGTGAGTATTCACGACAACCACGCATAATATCAGACGTGTTTCGCTACTCTGGTTCAAGTAAATGAATGCAATCCTCGAACAAACCAATGTTTCGACATTCCAGTCTAGTGTTTTCCGTAGAAGTGATTTAAAGTCACAATGTGGCTTATTATGTACTCGTAGAATGTTATCACCATCTTCACCCTGTTATAAGGCGATGACATCATTCGTCGAGTATATAACCGCATTGCGACTTTAAGTCACCCCTGATGAAGATAGTGTCGAAATTTTGTTTGAGGATTGCATTAAACCAGAGTACCGAAACATATCCGAGTTACTTATTCCCTCGATGCATACACCCTAAACTTTCCTAATTTTATACATCAACCGTTCCTCTAACTCATTCTTCTTATCCAACTCACAAACCTCGTCAAAGTTCCCCAGGCATTGTTCATGAATAAACAACAAAGGTAATCTCCTTGTGCCAGCCAGACGGAAGATCAAATCCCGTTCGTCTTTTTGTAATTCCACATCAATGCTGACCCAAATATCATCCGATGAATTTCTTGTCAGACCATAACGTTGAAGTAGTTTTTCAAGCTGTTCTGTTTCACGGATCACGTCTGGATCTAAAGATGAGCTGGAACAGTAGACCTTTATGTGACTAAATTGAGTCGACTGCCGTTTACTTGGGTTATCTTTAGCCTGGGACACCCTCGGTAACCCCGAATCATGGTCACTGACTGATACCTCAAATGGACTGCCATTAATTAGTTTGAGACCCCATCGCACGTAGATGTTATAAGTCCCAGCTAAAGTAGGCATGTATGCTACAGTGTGTGTTGAGTAGTTCTTCGAACACGTGGTCCTCACGTGCGGAACTGGTAGGGAAACCGCTGGACAGTTTATGCAGACACTCAAAGGTCCTTTATCACGGTTATCAGTGATGACAGTAAATACGGCTAGTTTGCCAACTGTGGCATTTTTCAATCCATCGCCGTCGAATCCATAAAAACCATCCTGAGTAAGTAATTCTTCTGATTCGTTTTTATCTCCATTGCTTAAAAAATTCTCACTCGATTTGTTCTTTCTATTTTTATTATTATTCAAGTCAGTTCCATTTCCCTTCATGTGCAGTTTTGGCAAAACTTGGACACAGTACGGACTGTCTGCAATGTGTTCGTCTTTGTAGTACATGCTCAGTCGATAGTTGCCTGCAAGATTGGGTGTATACTTGACCCGAAATCGACCTTTTCCCATCGAGAACACCCTCAAATCGGGCTTGTAATCTTGTGTAAGTTTCCCAGCCGGCTTAAACTCGACCGAAACTGTGATTTCATTCGCGTTTACATCATGAAGGTCTAGTCTATATTCTATTTCTTTGCCAACTTTTCCCATCTCTGGTTTGTGATTGATATTTTCTTTAGTATTGTCCGAATTGAGATTATTTTCTGTGTGAACGCCATTTTCTTTGCTTCCATTTTCGATGCTTCCATTCTCTATGCTGTCGTTCTCAATATGACCGTTACTCAAATGCGAGTTCTGATTGGTAGAATTCCTCTCGAGGTCGTGTTCAAAAATAAGAGCTATGTACGTCATCACACTGAGCTCGTCAACTTCACTGCATATCATATCATCCGGGGATATTATCATAGATATGCCCCAGTTTTTTTCGGCCGTTTCCATAGCAACTTTAACATTCTTCTGAGGCCAACTACCTTGAAGGTATGCCCGCGCAGGAATTAGGCCTGGTTCGAGCGAATTGATGAGCTCACATAGCAACGTCCCATCATTCCAGTCGGTCGTGAAGTTTCTGACTTTCCGTCCAGCAAGTTTGCTGTTGAGCCACTTTAACAAGATTTCCTTGGCGTTCATTGGTGCGTTCTCAATCTCCCATAGTTCTTTGCCCGGGGAAATATGAAAGAACTCTATAAGGTCCCAAATGAACTGGATGACAGTATGCCGATTCACAACTAGAAAAGAAAAGTTATAAAACTTTAGTTTTTTCGTACTCTGCGGACGAAAACAGAGCATTTTCCACATTGTTTCCTGGTCATGTTTCCCAAAGGTGGACAAACCAGGAAACATTGTTTCCTAGCCATGTTTCCAAAGGTGGGCAAACCAGAAAACATTATTTTATAGCCATGTTTCCCTTCAAAGGTGGACAAACCAGGAAACATTGTTTCTTAGCCATGTTTCTTGAAGGTAGACAAACCATGAAACATTGTTTACTAGCCATGTTTCCTGAAGGTGGGCAAAGCAGGAAACATTTATATTTTTCCTAGCATGTTTCTTGAAAGTGGACAAACCAGAGAATATTGTTTCCTAGCCATGTTTCCCAAAAGTGGGCAAACCTGGAAACATTGTTTCCTAGGTTTCCTAGCCATGTTTCTTGAAGGTGGATAAATTAGGAAATAAATTACAGGAAATAAAAATTAGGAAATCTTTCTGAATTAAAACAAATTAGATTTCTGCAATTCTACAAATATTGTGAATTTCGACCGACATATCCTCCATAATCTTCTCATATCAACCCACGCCGCTAATCACTCCATATATTGACAATGCACTTCAATTACTCGGTCTTTTAATTATGCAATACCGTTTCATTTCTGTGTAAATGAAAATTTGCATTTAAAAACAGACAGAAGCCATCAGCGTGATTCCGTTTTAAATAATTGAATTTCGTCTGGCTGTGTATTAACCGTGGTTTTCGCTTATGAATGTCAAACTATAGTTTAAATAGCCTTATCAGTTTCTAGTCATAACAGAGAAACTTTTAAAGCTCGGTACATAGGCTTCAAACGTCAGCATGCTAACTGCTTTATATTGTCAGCCAGTATTTCCCCTTTGTTGTCTCCCCACGTGAAATGATTGCTGTGCGCGTGTCTTACAAAAGCGGAACATTTATTTCAGAACAAATAACATTATCCTGTTATCGAATAACCCTTGGAAACAATTTGAATCTTCTGTAGCCTAAATATACAGTCACAAAACTGTTATATGCTTTACCGTAGCAGCGCTCAGAAGGTAAAATGATTGAATTCAAGAAGGGGTATACGAAACTACGAAAGCTAAACTAAACTGACATTATTTGAGTTGGATAGCTCTGTCAATTCCAAACTGTTCTACCTAGAGGTCCAGTAAGGATCATCCCTCATTGCTTCAGTGTTATGTTACAAAAGGAAGTCAGAGAACCAGAAGAAAATCTGAGGTGTTCGGTAGAGTCATCTTGTTTATAATTTTAAGTGTGTCATACTTGTATGAATAAATTTTAGCAGATACAGCTAGATTCTCGTTATTTGAGTTTTAATTCATCCCTAGTCATTCGTTGTAGCAAGTGTAGTTCACATTGAGTTTCAATACAAAGGTAACAGGTCTAAACTTGTTCCTGTTTTTCGAAACAAAACTCCAATATGCTCTATATTTATCGTATATTTTGTTTTTTAACTTTAAGCATGAGTAATTTTCACATGCATTATATGAAAGCTAATCTTAAAATGGGAAATTATTTATCGATACGTTTGGAAACATTAACGAAATGAGGAATTCCTTTAAGGAATGAAAAATATTAAATTTCGGTCGACTAAAGATTAAAAGTCAGACAGGATTAAAGCGATTCATAATTACCTTGCCCTTGCTCCGACTTAAAATAATTCTTCTTAAACTCTCCAGCTCTACCCAAGATCGCCTCTCGCTCGCTTGCTTTCCTTTCTTGGGTGATGTCTTTAAATTTCTTCTCTGATTTCGCGAGGACAATTTCGAGCAGCGCTTCCAACAACGCACACTCGTTTGGATTAAAAATGTCAACAATTTGTTTGTCCAGCGATCTCAACACGCTATTCGCCCAGTTGGTGAAAGCCCGACGACGCATCATTGTTTTATAAACACTCATTCGTTTTTGTCTCATTTCCATGTGATTAAGTCAGAACCTATCACGAACATATTGTGGTTAGAGTCATAAATAATGATTGATCTCACATATGTCATGAAAGTCCTATATATACACAGTATAAATCATTTCAACATTCGAAGGCATATTTATAGTTCTATGTATACTATAAATCATTTCAAACGTTTGGAAGAGATTATGATAAATTTATGATTTTAGAAAAATGATGAATTGAAACTCGAATGAAAATATGTGCAAGGTTGCTTGTATGCACTGAGTTAGAATCATTCTAATCTATTCTAATCTGTTCTAATCATTTTAAATCTTTTTTATATTATAAATCATTTGAAACATTCGAAACAATATGGGATTAGGGAAAATTTATGATTTACAAAACTGCATGATGAATCGAATTTAGAAAATCACCGCAAAACTATTTGTACCTGATCTAATTACTCTGTCCATTGGGCTATGGAACCAACGGGGATTGGAAACGAGTTTTAGCCCATTTTCGTCAACGTAATATTGCAATTGTGACTTGTAAGCAATTAAAGCTTGTCTCGGAGACCGTGCAGTGTTTCAATTGTATTACTGAATCATGCTCAAAGATAAGAAAAATATTTTGATAAAAGATAAATTTGACAATGCATGCATGCATGGAATCTGTGATTTCTACGGTCTTCTGATCATTCCATATGAATTCAAATCGGCGTGGAACGCTATCACGCCGCATGCTTGGTAATGCGTGGTAATCGAAGAAGAACTTATCTTTTTATGTAGAAAACATTTTCCATTTCAAAATCCACTCGATGTGAATGAGTGACAATGAAACAAATGTTCTATGAAGCGAAATTTTACCTTGCTTGCAATATGTGTCTCATGTCAAACATTGGGTCCAAGCTGCCGTTGTTTGTGTCTGAACTATCATGGAAAAATCAGGAAACCCTTTACTCAAGACGTCGAGGAATACTTCATAAGTTCAGTAATAATATATATATATTTGATGCCAGATTAATAAGCCCTAATGCACAAGTAATTGTCAAGCAATTATTAGTACTAAACAACGACAACAATAAGTTACAAAAGTCGAAAAGATTAATATGTTTTTCCAAACATTATGAACATGTATTTATAGAAGTTTATAATTTTCTCAATATAGACAAAAGACGAATCCACATTTATGCATACAAGGAACTCTATGACTATTGAAAACAAAAACTATATTGCAAGTACAAATCATATAAATTTTCCCGCCGTAATGTTGTACGCACCTTTACATATTGGAATTGATAGTTTTAAGTTGCAAGGAATTTCAGTCTTAAGAATAAAGTTAGAAGATATAAAGACAAAATTTTATTATATCTATATATGGATTATGCACATAGCCTTTCAATTTTAAATATTGCAGAGTTTACGATATATAAATGGTTTAAATTCAGTACTTACTATTTTGCGGTTAAGTAGATACTTATATTTTAAACTTGAAAATTTTAAATTAGTTAAGCGAACAAGTCTTCTCCATAACACCACGCACGAATATACTGCTTGACTCTTTTCATATAATGTTGTTGCCCTGCAGACAATGTTTTGAGATATTCAAACATAGCAGCTGTCTCCATGGAACATGTGTCTCATCGCATTAATGTTTTATCATTTTGAGATATGTATATGCGCATTTTAATGTCCTGACGCTGCAGGTAACAGGTTGGAGCTTGGTAAGGTTGGCAGATTAAATATACTTTGATGCTGTGAGCGAAAGGCTTTCATCAGATGGTTGGGAGCATGGGGCGGGCAAACACACGTAGTTTTCTAGTGAAATATTGGAAAGATCGAAGAGTTTATTTTTAAACTTTTTCAATTCGTACGTTTGGCCTTCCGACCTTCACTTTCTTATTTCACTTCCAGCGCGCGGTACGTGATCAGCATCTTGCGCGTGCGCGTTCTTAGCATTCAGGCATTCTGGGGTCTTGGTAAACACAATATGTTATCTGTGCTAGGCACTGCTCTGCAGTTGTACTACAGGATGTATGACAGCTTAGAACATTTCTTGATGCAATTGTGAATGATATTTTCATTTGATTTACTGATGAAGCTTTCATGTCAGCAAACTACAGTAACTGCCGGCAACTTGTGGTTTACTATTAATACTAATAGTATTACACAACATTCGGTATAGAGAATGCCATGCAATTTACCCTATCTTAGCGACCGTCATTCCTTGATTCTAACACAGAGCAAGCTTCACAGTTTGACAAAGAATCCATTATGCATCACGACATCATCTATACGATTAATTTATTGGACATTCACTTCACTACAACTATTCGTTTAGCTTACCTTTGTCAAACTGCTCGGAACATCTTGGCGCAAATTTTGATGAAATAGGAGCGCAAGGCAGCGAGGAATGCATCGTAATTTTACACATTCTTTATTTGATCACATGTAATTGCGAGAAGATAAAATCTCTATCGTACTATAGTAACACAGTGAAGTTAATTGAAAGTTATGCTATGTGCCTATGGTATGTTTAGTTAGCAGCATCGTGCATTTCCATACAACTATGACAACATGTCATTTGATATTTGCGTTTCCTTGACTCGTAAGTTTCATGTTACAGAATACAGAATTTCAAGTTTCGGTAAACCTCCTACTTTCACGGGCTAAACCTTCCACTTTCATTTACAATTACTTGCTTCAGAGGCGAAAGAAGTAAGGGGCTTAGAGGGAGG